AGTCAGTCTTCCAAGACATTATATGATGCTGCATGCCACTTTCAGGCCTCCTCAAAAATTTTTCATGCTTATTAGAAGCTAGTATTTTGAAAACAAAACCAGATTCTGAAAAAATGTCTCAACTATGAAAAATACCCTTTTTCTTTAAATTTTGTGAAATGTTGTTTGTTATTATACTACTCATGATAAAATACTTTGTTTGCAATTTAAAACAGATAATTTGTATTACAATAATAAGCTCATTGTAAAAATGAGAAGGAAAGAATTAAATAATAGAGGACCAATTAACCTGCAGCTTTCTAAAAAGAATAGGCAAGAATTCCACTTCTCTGAATGAATGATTGCCCTGTAAAACCAATTATTTTCCTAAAAAAAAAAAAAAACAAACAAAGAGAAAGTAATCTTCTTTACTTTTATCACAAAAAAAGAAACAAACAAAATAATATAGTTTCTGTATTTTGGGCCAAATCAGCATTTAGATACACAACTACAAAGATAGCAATATTTAATTATCTATTCATGATGACTCCTTGCAATTTCAACCTCCACAGCTCAGTTAGCTACATGTTACATATTCAGTAAATTTAAAAACTATTTAATGAAGATTTATTTCTAATCTGTAATATGATTGTTTACTTAAGTGAATGCAATTCCTTTTTTTTTTTCCTAAAGGATAGAACCTTCTTACAGTTAAGACAATAATAAAAATGATCTCATTATTCTCTTTAGTACTAGTTAGTGTAATTACTCTGAAATTTGGTATATTATGGTGAAACTATTTGTATAAAATAAAGGGAAAGTCAAGCATTGTATTATGTTATTTCCAACCTAAACAATTCTATTTTTACTAGAGTCTGCAGAAACAGGGCCAAGAATACTGGTTTTAAAATGAAGAATGGGAGATTCATACTATATGTAAGAAAATAAATTTTTTACGACTAATTTTGTGAAATGCTGAAATATGCTGCCCAGAGATGTGGTAAATTCACAGTCAGGTTGGATGAGAAACTTGATTTAATTGAAGATGAAGGTACTCATTGCAGGGAGGTTGGACTACATGAACTTTACAGGTTCCTTCCAACCCAAACCATTTGATGATTTGATTATGATTTAATATTTATTATGTGTGAAGTTTAGTACATTTTGAATGTGCCTGTTTAGTATTACATTTGTCCAGTTGGATGAGAATGAAAAGTATGTATGAACAGTCTGCTATCATGTTTTGGGTTTTTTTTTTTTCTGTTCTCAGTGTTTTTTTTTTTCTTTCAACAATAATACAATCTTTGAAGCCTCATCCTTCCACATTAGTGTGTTAGAAACACACTTTTCCCAGCTTGCTTGTTCTCCTCTATATTCCTTTCCTATGTTTCCAGGATTCTGTGGTCTCACTTTAAAGCAAAAATTAAACAAGCACAAAGAAACACTGGACAAGCAGCTTGGGAAAGCATACATATAATCAAAGAAGTGATTTTGAAATCGAAGGATCAAAATTGCACAAATTCTAGTTATTATTGCTCAAATTATCATGATTTTCTGGTGCAACCACAGTAGCTGATTGCCAGCACCAGCCACTTGGCCTCACATTGACTACAGAAGAGACCTCAGTCAGGACAAATAGGAGTCACATTTTGTCAAATGAGAGTGGCCATAGAATTTCAGATTAAAGCTCCATCTAGTTTGGCAGACAAAGAAAATACCCATGAAATAGAAAGTACAAGATAAATGTAGTTGATATGCACCCTAATTACTCTCCTGACCAAACAGCAGAAACAAAACAAGTGACTTTCAAAGCTAACTCAAGAATTCAAATAGCAAGCAGGCCCAGGACAGCCATCAAGCTGTTTTGTTCAAGTGGGAAGATAACCATCACTCACCATGCACCACTGCCCTGCATTTACTTGCATGCCCTCAGTGAGAACATCCACCAGAACACCAACCAGTACTCTCATTCTCAAATACTGGGCATCTCACTGATGTTATGACAGCTATTATGCACCAGCCTAGAGAAGCTGTTTCCAGTAGCTTGAATAAAAATTACAGCAACCTTCATCAGCTTTCTTACCCACTCCAATAGATACTGAAATTTTATCTAGACTTGCATCCACTGCTTTCATTTCCACCAGTCTACAGCTATCTCTTCACAGAGGGATGTCAGAGCTCACCTTCCACTGCTACTGATCACTCTTAGTTACATACTGTTGAAAGACAGCGTGATGCCCTAAGTATTAACTTTATAAATAGCTAAGCTACACTAGTTCACACATGTAAAAACATATAGCATCAAAGGAACTGGAGAAGTAATAAATGTATAAAATCTACTATTCACTTTCAGTGTCTTCAAATAGTTCACATTTTGCCTTTCTATTTGCTATTTGCTTTCCTTTGCCTAAGCAGCTACTGCAAATTCAGTGTTCCCCTGCTTTCATGTCAAACTACTGGAAGAAGCCTATACAGTCAACTACTTAACCCCACTGCATTAAAACCAGAGAAAAACTCAACTGCTACCACCAGCAGAAATGTTTCCTGGAAACTCTATTCTTTTCTATCAGTGTACCTCAAACTAACCTAAAATGAGCAGCAATTTCAGTTCTTATAGGAACATGATGGAACAAATGAAGCTTTGAGACCCTTTCAGTCTACTTTTTGTTAAACCAACATTCTCAGGGAGGTCAAAATTACTTTTAAGCTCCAGACTCAGGTTTTGTTTTATAGAAATTAGAGCACAGTCATCTCACGTGGGGGAAGATCAGAATCCATTTTGCCTGATAAAATAGTAAGGAAAAGTTATGTTAACAAATGTTCTCCTTTTCTGCTCTGTCACTGAATAGTATTAGTCAAACCCAGTGACTTTTAAGAGCTCTTTGATCCCCACACAATTATCTCTGGGTATCTAGGAAGACTCTCACTTCTGTGGCAGGACAATTTCTGTATTCTGTTCTTTCCAGGAGTCTCCTTGCTGTGCAACAGGCTTCCTGCCCTCTTACATACGCTGCTTTTTCTCCTGACCTATCCTGCAGTCTTGAAGAATAGTTGCTCTCAAGGGAGGAACATATTTCTAGCTAAATTATCACTTATTTTTCAGGAAATTTAGAGTAAGAACTGAGAACTAAAAGATAAAAAATAGCGTATTTTTCATGATAATTTCTCTTTTTGTTCTGTTGTTTTGGGTTTTTTTGGGTTATTTGTTTCTGGTTTTTTGCTATTGTTTGGGGCTTGTTTGTTTTTGGGTTTTTTTTTTAATTTTTTCCCCCCTGGGTTTTGAAAATGGGTATATTTCTACATTTTAAATTATTTTAGGTATATTTTGGGGTTTTTTTTTGGTCTTTAATGGTCTTGATGTGGAAATTCAAAAAGCAATGCAGAAGTTTATCTTAGTAATGGTTAACTCTCCCGTTATTATATGTATAAGTAACTCCTTTAAAATATTTTAAAGCTTTGAATGGTATTGATATCAGACTGGTGATCTGGCTATCCCTTTTCTTCTCCATTTGTTGTTCTCCAGCCACTTCTCCTACAGGCAGTTTTCAGAAATCCTATTGCAACATGAACTGTTGTTATGGCATTCTTGAGAAGAGATAACCAATGTCCCCAGCACAAGCATGTACAGCTCTTGAAGTTATGTTAACCCCCCAGTTAAGGAATTTTTGTTTCTGTGTCTTTGCTCTGATTGCCTTTGCATGACATCAGAATGATATATGTTTCCTACTGAATTCTGAGGGAAAGTACCCTATTTACTAGTTTAATTTACTATTTTTATTCCAACTGTCTTTTATTTCTGTGGATAAAAGATTTGCAAGTTTGGGGTACTTTTTCTCGCAAGTCTGACAGAAGTTCAGTTCTCATAATTCTCTTGTATACTTAAAATCTCAATTGCTCCCCCAGAGCTTTGTCCCTACAAGCAATTTTACCTTCCTATTGCAAATCCCTTTAATTTCTGCTGACTTTTCATTCTGCAATCTTTCCCTATGGTTTTTGTCCCCTTTCTCTCTTTGTGTTCAAAGAAATTTTGAAGCAGCAACTTTGATGAAATTTCCAAGATTCTTGTCATTCTCTGTTCTATTATAGTAGACGTTGTTGGGGAAGTCTGCAGGTAACAACAATGTTTTCTGAGACCCAAATTGAAATACCCTGTATGAATGTCCCTATATTTTCTGAGTATTTTATAAATTACATTTCTTCAGCCGATAGAGGATAAACCTGTCTTGGAAGACAAAGCAGGCTTACTAATGTGCATTTCCTAGCAACTAGGAGGAAACCTTAGCATCTAATCTTGACTAAGATAGCTACTGTGATAAAACAGTTACTTCTTTAGTAATTTGGCAAACTCTGGCAAGCTCCACTGAAGCATGTGAAGGACAAAAGCATGATAACACATACTATCACTTTCTTTGCAGTTAGAAGTCTCCTTTAATTTCCCAATGGGAAACAGAGTGATATCTTGTGTAAATGAGTTGCTTCAGATAGCCTGAGACTCTTTCTAATGGCTCATACATTCTACATCAGAATTGCATACATTATTTTTTTCATCAGAATGTTTCCAGAAATAAATGTGAGCATATTTTAACCTCCTTTTAGGGTGGGGGGGATAAGTGGAAAAATCCTTTATTTTTCCAAACACCTAACAAGAAGATAAAGATGATTATGTGGCCTGCTGTAAACTCTCATCTGAAGTATACAACACCCTGCTTCAAATAAGGCACAGAAACATGTGTTTTTAAACGTTGATGTGAAACAAGAGACAGAAAACTTAGGGTGTCAGGCCAACAGGTTGTCTCATGTAATGACACGTGAAAGTTACAGAAAATTCTATCTGATAAATAACATTCTTCTCAAAATGGGGTTTTAACTCACTAAGTGGAAATAAAAATAATGTAGGCATACAGAGACTTTTAAAATTACACTTCTACTGAATATCATATCAATCCCTGGGGAGCAAACCACCTGTTTCAACAGCAGCTTTGTCCAACCTCAAGAACAAGTCAATTGCTAATGACACTTACTGGCATAATGGAATGTCATCTTTGATGATGCATTTTCCTCCATTTTTGCAGTATTCTTCAGGACAAGCTGCAAACATAAAAGTAAAAATTGTTATTTCCCCCTCTTTTTTAATACATTTCTCATTATCTGATTTTCAAAATGGCAAAATATTCACACCAGTCCTTTTGAGTGCTTAGCACTTCCAAAACCTTTTTTTTAGACAAGACTTGGTGATACAAGTGTGAAGTCATAAGAATACAAGCAATGGAGTGCTCTTAAGCTTGTTGAAATCCCGATGCTGCACTTGAATAGGCTTCAAATTTTTCTCAAATGAGATTTTCATCTGAGTCCAGAAATGGAATTTTTGCCACTTACTCGATTTTCAAACAACTAGAATATAGAAAATAAGACCCAGAAGAACTGAACTAATATTTAAATAGTACCTAACTCTACTTTATTATTAATAGCTTTTATATAGGGCTGGTGAATAGACACTCCTTTGTGACCAATCTTTTTACTAAAGATATTCAGAATTTTAACACTTAGAATCATATTCTCATAAGAACAAGGGAAATCAGGCTATAAAAGACAAAAGGTGTTTAAGTACTTAGTGATATTATCTTAAAATCTCTTGATGTCCCTTAACTTGAATTTACACATCATCACATTTAGTTTTACTGAAGAAGAGTTTTACATTGCTTTAGCAAGAAAAAACTCAAAATCAAAAAAAGAATCCCCTGTATCTTCTTTAGTATGAAAATAACTGGTAATATACAAATTAGATCTAAAGAGTTTTGGATATATGCAAAATGAAATTGTTAATGGCAAATGAAAATTGTTAATAGTGCTCTTCAGTGAGGACACCTCCAGTTTTAGGATTAAATTTTGAAAAGTGAGTTACTTATTTAAAATATCTGCTTTCTGAAAAAACAGTGGAAGATTTGTCAATTTCTGTTATGCATGTCTACTAGTTTATGTCCTATATTCTTCTATATTAAACTAATTTCTGAATAAATTCCTTTTAATTTAAAATAAAAAATAATAAATAATTATTAAAATAATTAAAATAATTCTAGAATTCAAATTTACCAAGTATGAATTCTCTCATCATTATAGAAGTGGTATTTTTTTATGTTGAAGTATTATTCCTTCTCTCACATGAGCAACCTGGGCTCGTGAAGGTGTCCCTGCCCAAGTCAGGGGCTTGGCAACTTTGTGATCCCTTCCAACCCAAACCATTTTATGATGCTGTGAGTGATAGTGAACACAACACCTGTGGTCAAGTTTCACTCCCAAAGAAACTGGTGGATGCCTCCTACCAATAAGTGTTTGTAAAACTTTTAGTTTGTGAATAGACATTTAATACATTAAAGTTAATTATATAATTGCAATGAACATATGTTGTGAATTTTATCACATAACCCATAAAAAGTATAAAAAGAGAGAGTTAAATTCTCAGCTAATGCGACTTCAGCAAAGCTGGCAGAATACTGTCAAGAGTTTATATCAGTCTTGGAGAAGAGCTACAGTATCTTTCTGTCATTGAATGGGACATTTTTAATCTAGATTTAATCATTGATTATATCACCATCATCTATGTATTTGTTAGATTTTGTTAATAAAAATCTAATTCACATTGAATGTGTATTATGTGCGTCCTGTACTTATCTTTCTCCACCATTAAACTACTGCACATCAAACCTGAATATTGTCAAATGCACTGTGCTAGAACAAATGCTGTTTAGTTTATTTTCCAACCTGGATTTGTAATGCACTTGGAAAAAAGAAAGCATGAGAAAGCAAGCTTTTTACTTAACAATATGGATTAACTCAACTGGCTAAAATCAAGGGAAGTCCTAAAAGTATACTACAAAGGGTTGGGGTTTTTTTGAACAATGTGTTTATAGGGTAGGAAAACCCCTCATGAAGATGTTAAGATGTTAAGCATATTATTATTATTATTCATATTTTTCTCACTTTCATCTGTTATACTTTCATCAGGAAAATCCACCTCTAAAATAATTTGACAAAGTTTTAGGGGACGAATATCAGTCAAGTTTGAGGACTGCCAAAAGATTCAGAAGGAAATAATTATACTTTCTTTGTTTCAAACGATATTTTAATGCGAAACTAAGTACCTGAACAGCCGGACTCATCAAGGCTGGAATCAATGCAGTCTGCAATTCCATCACAACGCTGGGAGAGTGGTATGCATTGATTAGTTGAAGCACACAACAATGAACCATTGGAGCAATCCTTAATGGCTGAAATGAAAAGGAACATGGTCGTTATCATCAGCTGTATTTTGTTTTCCCCACTGTTCAAAAAGTAGCAGAAAACTTAATTCGTACTGTAGGATATAAACTTGCATCTGTGTGACCTCTACAAGCTTTCATCTTCAAAGATATACAAGTTTACTACTGAGATGCTAAATAAGTAAACAAATACTAAGCACAGATGGTACAGAAACCAAATTTTCCCATGAAATATTTGTGAAGAGGAGTGCATATTAACTTAAAATGTTGAGAATGTAACCCATAAAAAAGATATCACAAACAATAATCAACTCTCATTCAACTACTAGTTTCAAAATGATGGAATCTGGTTTTTTTACACTTTATTTTAACACGTTACAGAGGGAACAGTCATAGCAGTGGATCTAATGGCTGAAAATTTTGCAGTTAAGGACCATGACACCAAATTATTGGTGCTGAGGTAGAGAATATTAGCACCACATGAAGGCACTAAAAACAGTGAAGATATAGAAATGAAAATATCAAATTTTCATCTATATTTAATTTTCCAGGTGCAAATTAAAGCAGTAGAAGGGATAATGATATCACAGCCTGTTTGAAAGTATAAAATTTTTAATATTTCATAGGTATTTAAAACTTACCAGAACTACAAGAGATCTATTTTGGTACACTACAGAAAACAGAGAAAAGACCTTTTATTCATTGCTATTAGCACTTCAACCAGATGAAGCAAGTGGAAAAGTATGTTGATCTGTGGAAAACTAATGTATACATCCCACTGGTGTTAATACATTTGTTTTAAACCCTTACCATTGTAATCAGGCAAATAAAAGACTAAATAGGTGAGGTAATATACCCTTCACTAAAATTGACAGCAAGAACAGAGCCAGTCAAGTAGAACATCTATAACTGGAAAACAATTTCAGAATTTTCTTGTTAAATGCAGCAAGTAATAAAATCCACTACATTAATAAGTATGAAATAGTATTAGCATAATATTGTACAGCCTAACTGCTATGTGAACTCTACAGGAAATTCTGCCTCCATAAATACCTAAGTTGTGAAGAAAAGCATTTCTACAGTAGAAACTGTGTTTTCAGCAGGGACTTGACCAATGTTTTTCTGTTTGGTTGGGGTTTTTTTCTGTCCTGGCCTCCTTTTGGGTTTTATCCTTCATCTCTGCAAGATGCATTTTGACAACCAGTCTTTATCCCAAAAGAAAACTTTCCCTGATGAATTCCTGAATTCAGAACCCAGAACATTTTTGCTCTACACTCAAATAGTGTTCAGTGTTTTGTTTTACACTTAAATGAATAAAATTGCTATGGGACACAAAACGGAAAATGTTGGTAATTCTTAAACTGAAGTTTTCTAAAATGAGCAGGTAGATTTGATCTGCACTAAGGAAAAAAAATCAATCTAAAATATAAAAAAATAAACCCCTAATTTCAATCTGTGCTATTTTTAGTGTACACATAGGTTGGAGTTACTAGCACAACAATCAATTTTATAGATCATGCATAAATTTCAATAAAATAATACAATTTCTGAGATATTTACTTCTTTTCTCTGCCCTTCCCCAGTTGACAAACTTCTATGGTTTTTCACCTGTTAAGAGTAGGAAGCTAGAGATTAAACACTCTGCTCTCATGGCATACACAGTTGGATCTCAGCACCAGCTGTGACAGAAATCAGCTTTCCACTGATTTCATTCCAATCTAGCACGATTCACTTTCTTTTTGCTTTGCCTTCTTCCCTGCTTTGCTTTGCTTCTCTTAAGTATCTTCCTCAGAAAAGAAAAAAGAATTACTGCTTCTGTATTTTTACCTTATACTATCAATGATTGTATATTTATATACTATAAACTGAATTTTGGAGTACCAATGAAGTAAAGACGACTAAGTTTCCTTCAGACTGAGAACCCCAAAGCTGTAAAATATCTATGGAGAATATTTTTTTCTCTGAATAGATCAGGATTTAATTTCTTCTTATTCCCTAAATTTTGTTTAGAAATGAAGGCAGCAAAATAAACAAAACCAAGCAATATCTCAGTTGTTTGGATAATACAGAAAATCATGGAAATCTTTTGGCTTTCAGATTTTGAGGTTCCACATCGGCTTCTGTGGTGTGGAGTTGGGATGTGCCTGTAATAAAACACAGCATGGAATTCTCTACCAGAGGACAGATTGAGGAGGAAGGAAGGTCAAATGAAAATTAACCAGGAGAAGTTTATTTGAAGAAAGGAACATGCAAAATTTCTACATGTCTTCAGGGTATGTAGATTCAACATCAAAGTTATCTCCAAAATTGTGTCTTCTGCCAACAAAACACAGAGCTCACTTCTAAACAAAAGACTTACATAGATACTTTGCCAAATCCGTGACAGTTTGGTAGACTAATTTCCTGAAATAACTGGCATGTGCAGCCTGTATTCATATTTAGTAGTTTTGATAGAAAATATTAAAGAATATGAATTTCTAGTCCACTGAAAACTGATTTTTTTGCCTTTTTTTTTTTCACTCTGATAAGGATGAGAAAAATATTAAAAAAGCTTTACAGCATGACAGGTTTAGGAAGAAAACTGTTTATATGGAAAAAGGCTCTTTTTCTTTTTTTTTTTTGTTTTTCTATATTGCTAATTATTTTGAGATTCCTGGAATGAAACATTTGGCCTCAGTTCATTTGCTAATAATGAAATATTTTTAAATGGGCAGACACTCACTTTTGTGTCTATCTGTTTCAGATGTTTCTCCATGGCATCTCATTGCAGTTACATTTCAAAGCCTATTGACCTTGTGTTTTGTTTGTGAGCCCTTTTCCTTGCTCGGGGCGGAGATTGCTGCTACTTCATGAACAGACTTGACTTCAAAACCCTTGAAAGGTCAGGACTGCCTTAAATGTTACTGAATTATAGAACTGCAGAAGCCTATCATTCTGTCTTATCAAAATCAGAGGTTACAGAAGCAATGCAAATGCAGCTGACTGATTTAAGGAAAAAATGTGGAAATGCTTGTAAATATTAAAAGAAACACAATTGCAATTTTTTTAAACATTTACCAAATGATAGCCAGGAAATGAGAATGCATAAGCAAAATTATTTAGAATGCAAAGCATCTCTACAATTAATGCATTGTATGTGACACAAATAGGGTATTTTGACTAGGGAATGATGAATTTTACACTGAACTTCACTATGTTGGTATTTTTGTGCCCTAAAACACCACTGGTTTAGGCGGGTGAGTTAACACTGCCATAACCACCTCCACGAAAGCCACTTACGGCAGCCGACTTCATCCTCACGGAGGCGGCAGTCAGGAACACCATCGCACCGCAGGAGGGACAGGATACAGCCCTGCGAGGGACACAGGAACTCTGTGTCCTTGCAGGAGCCTGGAGATGGGGTGGCAGGCACCTCCACGGGACAGTTCATCTCATCACTGCCATCCAAGCAATCTTCATCCCCGTCGCAGCGTGCGGAGATGGACAGGCACTGGCGCACGTACGCGCACGTGAACTCATCATCATGGCACGCTGGATCCACTGGTCCTGCAAGGAGAACAGGAATGCTCAGGGATTCTGTGCCTCCAGCACTCATTCACACTGCTTTGAGACCTACATAGGAACTGCTGGGAATGCAGCTCATTGGGGTTACTAAACTCTTTAAAAAAAAAGAACCCAACTTTTATAAAAACAAAGCGCAAAACTCAGTATTAAAAACATTCTGTCTTACATTAACTCCATTGCTGTTGTGTCAGCACTTTGCTTCTAAAGCTCAAGTCCAGCTTTCTATTACTTCTTTTCCAATGCACACATAGAAGGGTTAATGTCAAAATATTAATAAATCTTGTCTTTCACCCAATATCTGGAAAGCTTTAAAATACCCCTCAAGTTACCATTTTAAGTTAAATGAAGAAAAAGATTTTTATGATGTAACAACAAAAATTTTTACTGATCTAGTCTATTATCACTCTGACTCTTAAGCTTAACCGGATGTGATAGAGAATTAAATTTTAAAAATACTCGATAGATTTCTAGGATACAAGTAAAGAAAAATGTGGTTTTAGAATTTCAAACTTTAACTAATTCAGACAGCTGACAAAAAAAATGAACAAAATAAATACAGAAATAAATAAATCAATAAAATATTCCATGCTAATTTGCATGGCTGCAAGAAAATACTGGGGAAAGGTTTGTGTGATCATGTATATAAATAAATTGTCCCAGATACTTAAGTCTTTCTTTTTTCCTATTAAAACCATTGCAACTGAATTTTTTAGCAGAAGCATAAGATCTATTGATGGAAACTAATTTCTAACGAACTGGCTGTGCTAATTTTGTGTTCTTTACAGCATCAGCATCTCCCATGGAAGAAATGTGATGGATTCCTGTACTTTTTATATGTGTGGGGAAAAGAGAAAAATGTCCAGAATTTAGCTCCATACATTTAATCTTTCTAGCTCAATTTTCAGCAGTTGAGTAAAAAATAGAATATGATCGCTAGAGACAAAGTAAGACAAATTAATTCACTACCTCTGTAAAAGACAGGAGGAGTTTTGCTGTTGACTTGGGCTGAGGCAATGGAGACAAGCACAAAAAGTGGGTTTCATCTTGTTTTTTGGAATGGTGCAAGCATTGTTCTCTGACCTCAGATGTCCAGTGTTACTGCTGCATTAAAGCATGACACTCTATAAAGGAGTACATGAATTTTGGCATGATTTTCTGACTTTTAATCCACTGGTCATATCAGCATGTTTTTGTATTCTGCAATACCAGGCTGGGGTTTTACAGCATGAGGACTTGGCTAAAACATGCTCAGTTTCAAAGATTTCTCCATCATAAATAACTATAGCCTTTTATACAAGTAAATGAACTGTTAATACATTCAGGTAAACAGAATACTAGCATTATTTTACCATCCAGTTGCTTGTGAAGCAGATATAAGGAAAAAGAGCTCAAAGTTCTTTGCAATACAGACCTTCTATAGATTAGAAATTTTTGATTTTCATGTTGACTTTATATAAAAAAATCATAATTAAAAAGCTTCATACAATAGAACATGCCTGATATTATTTCATGCCTCTAATGTTATTAAATTAAATCATTCTACTAGAAAAATGTATTTGATTCACTGGATATAATGTAAACATAAAATAACAAAAATGGATATTGACTCAGTGAAAGTAATAACCCAGTGATCTTTTGTCCTGTGTATATTCAGAATTATTCCATGAATACCTCAAAGATGTGCCCTTTTACATGAGATTGAAAAGACTGTGGTTTCATATGTGTTTTATAAATGTGTTAGTCTAAGAAAAATTATTTATGCTACTTTAAAAGGCCTATGGAAATTGATTTTAGATAGTTGATAATAGACATTTAAATCACATAGTGGGTTGATTTTGTACAAATTAAAATTTCTAGATTTTGCATTTTTTTCTACTTTGGTCCTATACTGTACCAGATAATAATAGTAGCCCATAAAGACGTTTGAATTTGGTTTGTCATATAGAAACTGTATATTAGGCCAAGATACTGATGAAATGTCATTGGGAGAACATATTTTTCTCTCCATTGATACAGTGCTGCCAAATCTTGCACAGTGAAGTAAAATATATATATATATATATATATATATATATTATTTTTAGTTTGTACTTTTTTTTTTCTTTCTGTTATTTCTGACCCTTTCCTCACAGTGCCTAGGGGGCATTTAGGCAGTGAAAATGACTTAAGCTGCAGTCAGTTCTGCTTATGCACATTCTTTTGTCCTTGCATAGTCCTGTGTTAGCTTTTCTGTATTTGTTCTGATAGTATGGAAATTAACCCCACACAATATATTTGACTTTCCTGAGGTGGCCTGTTTATGTTGCAGGCAAGATTGCATTTATAATACATTTGTGAGCATTTCTGACCCAGTTTAATTTCCTGTCATGATATGTTTACTCATATGCTTCTACCCAAATTTGTTCTGTAAACTGAAATCCCCTCTTAAACTCAATATTTCTTGAATGTGCTGCTTGTTATGAAACTGGCCTTGAGTGTTAAATAATTTTCAGACTTTTATAACCTTGATCAGTTTATCCTTATGAGCCAATCATATAATGAGCTTATGCATGGAAATAATACTAAATTCAGTATTTAGGGAAATGCTTGAATGCTTTTTTTGAATGGGGTATGATCATTTTTCTATTATTATTTTCTATTTTCTGTTATCATTCTATCTGGTTTAGAAAATAATTTGTGGGATGAAGTTCTTCCTGACTTTCATAGCAAGTATATTAGATTGTGCAATATTCACCAAGGGGAGCAAAGATGTGTCCAGGCAGAGTTAGGGGTAAGGTTAACCAGGGGTCTTTTTGAGGTCTGTTTTATATTTGCACTACATTAAAATATCCACAGTCATGCCCTGAAATAAGTAAAATCCTTTTAGATTAGAACAGTGCATGAGATGAAAATGTACTTCAAAGAACATAAGAATGTCCCTAGCTTATTAACTCGTGTTATATGATAATTAGTTCGTTAGTTCATGTGTTTGGTTTCAGGTACAATAGAAAAGTTGTGCTCTGGATGACATTCTATAAGATGCCATTATTGCCATGGTGTGCCAAAATGTTACCTCCAAGTTCAATCTATTTTCTTTATGTAAAGTAGTTTATAAATGCTTTTCTTAGTTATAAATTAAATGTGCCTGGTAAAAATTTTGCAAATTTATGAAAGAATTAATTTGTGCAAAGCTAACAACTAAAAAAAGCTAATTAAGAATATGCAAATGTAGAAAATCATTAATTCCAACTGAAAAGAAATCTCAAGCAACATTAATGCAAAAGTAATTATTTGTATTCAAAGCTACTGTCTATGTAATTATTTATTTTAAGTTCATCATTACAGTATCTGCTACTGACACGTTTCCTTCTAAAAAGTGGGAATTTCCATTCTGTTTTCTTGTCACTGTGAAGAATTAAACTAAGGTGTTAAAACTACAATGTGGTTTGCAGTGGAGAACGTGCTGGCACAAATGAGAGACTCGTCAGAAACATCCTCCATGTGCTGACTCACACAGCACTGTGCTCTCACAATTTAGCAATAAAAACTAACTTTAAACTTATGCATATCTATGAACCTTATATTTTCCTCTTGTACATCTATATGAAAGTTATTTTAACAGCAGAATCTGAAGTGAAGCCTTTTCAATGCAAATTATATCATTTGTGGCCCACACATCCTTTCTGTCACTTAATATTGTTTGATTCAACAATTCCCTGGCATGCCAAGAAAATGTTTCCCTCACCTTTTCTCAAATGCAGAAAAGATGTTCCCAAGGCAGCACTCATCTCCTGAGTGCTGTGTGACTCTCATTTTCAGACCACATTCAGGAGTGCAGGAGACATTGTACAGGTTACTTTTTTTCAAAAGCAGTATCTGTTTAAAACTGTTTAAGGATTTGGAGATAAATCTACTGAAAATGATCAGTTCTAAGGAAGACAGTATAAAAGCTTTAGCTCTTTGTATCCAGGCTGCATGCTCTCTGAAAAGCAGGACCAAAAATCCTCAAGAATTCAGTGTTCACACACGGATGAAAAGCAAACTAAACAAAAACAATTTCAGCAAAAATAACCTCTGCACTGCAAAGCACTGAATCTGAATTTAGATCCACATGAAAAACAGCAGAAAACTGTTGATGTTCCATTACAGCTAAAGAAATCATGACTTTTAAGCAGAAAGCTGAGTACATATCTTTATTTATTTTACTTTGCACTCAGTGCTTTATTTTGCACTTATTTTTACCTTGCATATGGCAAATAACCAAACTTAAAGAAAGGGTTTAAAAATGTGCATATAAAATCTACTTGTATGTCATAAAGAAGACATTTTAATTAGGTCCTAAAACGTGACATTTTAATTTTGTCCTATATCTTTTTAAACTTACTCACACAGCTGTGCTGGCTGAGTTATTATCTATGGACAAGAAGTGCTACTTCACAAGCACCTTCACACTTTTAAGATAAGTTAAGTAGCTGAGGTAGATATAAAAAACATAAAAATCAGACCAGTGTTTAAAGCAAATAAAATTTGGTACATACTGCTCCATGAACTGCAATAACTGCATCTGGATATACCTGCATTTCATTGTTCTCAGATCAAATTGGTGCTTTTAAAGCAATTCTTATTGCAATGTGCTAACCATTAAACCACATTTACAGTAAATAGAGCTCGTGAGCTGATGATTTTGGAGAAAAGAGCCTTTACAACATGAAAAGTGTTAAGTCAATAAGTGCTCATTGTCAAGGACAAAATTATATATTTGTGAGATAGTGATTTGCTAAAGGCTTACTGGTTTTTGATGAACATTTTCTGTACACTTATGCTTTGTACTATTGTCTTTGTCATCCATGGAGCATATGATCCTGTTTCCTGACTGTAAAGCAAGCTTCACTTTAGCACTCCAATATTTTGCTCATAAATCACAGGGATTCAGTCATAGAAAACCGTAGAACTGCTATTACCCAAATGCTAAGATAAAATAAATGTTTGTATTACACAGTCAT